CGAAAGCTTGGGAAGCTTTCGTAAATAGCAATGTCTTTCCATGGCCTTCGTTATCGGGGAGACCAGATGCACTGGCGGCCTCCGGCTTGACATCACCAATCAGCTAGTTGACCCCAAGGATTGTGTTCACTGTCGCCACGGGAATTTCCGAAAGAAACACAGACTGCTTGGCGGTGTGGTCCGGCTACGACTTGCGTGGCCAACGTCTTGTTAATCACGATCTCTCGCAACTACTGGTTGACGTAGTCCTGCTAATCCACGAAGATCCCCTCATCCGTCTGCTTGAGGGGGCACCCAGAGAATTCAAGTCATCAACAACATGGACCCCCGTCGAGGCGATCAGTTCGGCCGTGGACTCACTGCACAAGGCAAGCCAAAGTCTTGTCGGCATTGATCTGCACCTATCCGTCCTCAATCAGGAATTTGACGACACTTTCACGCCACCACCGCGGGGCATGGACCAAGCCGCAGAACGTCTTGGTCAACTTCAGCACCGTCTATGTTTCAGAAACGGCCAACTCCAACCGTGTCCACATGCGCCAGGGATCTGGAGAAATGCTAAACTCACTTCTCTGCTCTTTAACTCATCTTTTAAACCATGGTTTGCTGTTGCTCTGCTGCCAGGAGTACACGCTGCCCAACTCTTGACAACCTCGGAGGAACCTGGCTTTGCTGAGGAAGCTGTCGCCACAACATCACCAGATCGCAGACCGCGCAGAGGTTGTATCGACCGGCCCAACGGCCGATAGCATTGCTCAATCGAGAAAATTTCTTGGGCTGCACGCACCTTTTCACCAGCCACCTTCGCCTTTGCACGGAGGACCAGTGTCCGGTCCAAGGCTTCTTGGGCGCAGTCCCACAGGCAAGATCTACTCCAACGCCCATCCATGGAATGGGCTATGGCCCAGCATGGTTGACGCAGGCATTACGCCCGTGGGTCATCAAGATGAAGAAACCTAACAGCCAGGCCGAATCCTTCTTTGTCAAGTTTCGCCAAGGCCCTCTTGATTGGCCCACACCTGACCTGGCGAGGAACTCTGAAAAGCCTGAACTCGACAAGTACCCCGCTGTCCGCCGAGATCCAGGCGGGAGAGGGATGGGCGGTTGTTGCCTTGATGTCTGCCGCGCTTGAGTCCGAGCCTGCGAAGCCAGGTACTTCTTCTTCAGCACAGGCACCATGGCGCAATGAAAAGCTCTGGCTGTGTCCATCATCACAAGCATTTTCACTTTGCTCCTTTTCTGGGCCCACGAACTCGTGCTCAAACACATTTAGCCCCAGGCTTTCCCGCAGCCCAGCAGCCATGGGGTCCGAACAGGCCGACGGAACAAGGCTGATCCGACTCGACTCCACGCACTCCGGTCCTTGGCCATCGCACTGCCCAAGGTGCAGCGTTCCGTTCAAGACGCTTGGAAAGACTGCCAAAGCTGCTATGACGTCCTTGATCACCACGCGCAGATTCTCGATCACATGGCTCCGCCAAGCATGGGCGGGCGGCGGGCTTCCGAACGCTGTTGCGAGGCAAACAGCCGGCCACTCGTCTCAGGTCTGGCGCGCGCGCGTACTCTCCAGGCTCCGCTGTTGTTTCGGGCTGATGTCGCACTCCCGTCATCTCACAAGTCGTCTTGAAGGAAGTGAGGCTCGTCGAAATGGTGAGCCTTGTCCACCACGCTCATCATGGCCAAGGAAATCACAGGTCTCGCACATCGCGGGAATGCCATTCCCAACCTCCAGCAAATCAGATAAATTCGACTGCCACACAAAGGGCTCCGAAAATGAAACTCTTAACGCCTGCGTGCTCTTTTGGCGCTTGGAAGTCCTTCCAAGTTTGGCTCGCCGAAAGTAGAACAAGCCACCTCGCCCGTCGCGGTGCTCAACTTTTGGGACTCCCAGAGAAGAGGCCCCCTTCCGGGATTCTTTCATCGAAATTGTATCAGGGAACTCTTCTCCACCAAGCAGGTAGGATGTCCCTTGCTGCACGGACAGCGTCCTAAGAGTTTCGCTGATATCACGTACCAGACAAACTCCTCGCCAAAGCACCGGTCTACAACCACGCCCTGACGTGAAGTGCAGCCACACGCCTCTGTTTTCCTAGTGAGCCCATATGCCCTGGTGATCACACGTACATGCCGTTCCTGTCTCAGATCTCACTTGCACTGGTGCATGCTACGGTTGGTCCTGACACTACGTACCCAAGCATGCTCCAGGTACAGCAACTATATTTCAAGTGTGATCAGCTTAGCTCTCCTCCCGTTTCGCTGGAACTGATTGGAATAGAAGGGTTTTGGTGGGCCTGAGGGAGCTGAACCATCCTGACTTCCGAGTAGCTAATTCACTGGCACTGCCAAGGGAATGCAATGTATGAGTCTGCCAGAAAAGCACCTTGCACAGAGGAACCCCAAAGACTGGAGTTTGCAACAATAAGATCCGGAAATAGCTGATGCGACAGCGACATACAAACTCAGAGCACCAAGCAAGGATGCAAAACAACTGCTACGGCCATTCGTTGCTCAGCAGGGAAGCTAGACGAGGTTGAGTGGTCTTCTGGAAACCATTTGGTCAAGAATGGAAATGCCTCCCCAGTCCCATGCCTTAGACACTCACGCATCTGATGATGCTGAAACCACTAAACATCACTAATGAACTGCTGGAGGTGGGCTGGCTGGGACAAGCAGCCGTAAGCCCGTGATGTGCCCCCCCCACCCTTTTGCGCAAGTACTCTCCCCCCGAGACCCAGGCTACAAGAAGGGGCACATTGCGCGACTGTGTTACCTGAAGTCTGAAAAATGTGGACCCTGCTCATGAGCAACATGCCTACATAGCTTTCAAACTCATGCCCCGGGCTTAGGGTTTGGGGCTTAGAAATTGTGTAACTTAAGCTCACTGTGTTGACAGCAGTTGCTGAAGCCCTGCAAGGGTACATACCACAGAAAGAATGGAAACACCTGAACCTAAACATCCCTAAACCAGGTACTAAAGTACTGAAACAACAGGTCGCACCACCTGGCACATGCATAAATGTAAACTCTGAAGCTTCAATGTAGGGTGGACGCATAAGTCTATATCTGAGACATGTGAATGCTTTAAGGCTTCCAGTGCTTATGGTGAATGTCGTACGTAAAGCCAAAGCAAAGAGACGGCATGCATCCCGGGGCCCTTAGTAGAGAATAGCAGTGTGCTCGAAGACGCTTCTAAAGATCTCATATTCGATGTGGATCATGCAATGTTCAACAGAACTCCATGCAGGAATCCCAATTCCTGTCGTAGTAGATGGAATGGAAGCTCGCACTGAGAGCAGTCCAAAATGCAGAGAATAAAGGCCCACTCAGGTTGCAGGTCCCCCCTCCCCGAGATACCCAGATGTAGTCCCTTTGCAATGAGCCTCTGAACAAAGCTGCATCTCAACAGCTACAGCACCGTTGGTCCCTAAGCCATGGCCCTCAACCCCAAAGCCCCAAGCAACCTTTAGCCCAAGGGCAAGAGCCAAAAACGCCTAGCCTCCTTTCAGGCTGAACTTTCCACCAAGCCTGCCTGCAGATACAGACACTGCAAACTAAAACTGTCCACGACAAGTTTCGGGCTTGCGGAGTCCGAAACTACTTCTGGAGGCGATATCTACGAGCAAATGTCCACTGCTATAGTTGGCAGGGGACAGTACCCGCTTACATAACGCTGAAGAATAAGGTCCTGCTCAGACGGGAAAGGGGTTTAGTACAGGGTGGTGGTTGAGAGCTTCAAGACAGAGATTTACAATGTACCGTGCAGTGCCTCTTGGAGGAGCTAGAACTTATGTTCTAAAACATAAAAGCCTCGAGCGAAATCCTTGAACAGAGTCTGCTGAGTCTTTTTGTGGCCCAGACTTGGGTCCCCGTCTCCTAGAAGCACCGCGTCCCTGCCCCGCACCTTTCAACCTGACGGTCCTCAAACAAATGACGTCCTCTTGGTGCTACAGCCAAGCATGATGAAGTGCACAATAAACTGAATCAAACCTAGACCGAAGACCCGAAACAAGTCGCCAGGAAATCGGGAGCCTGGAGAACCTGGCCGAATCAACAAGTGCTGTTTCCCTCCCAGAGCTTGAAGCACGCCTCCGGATTTCCCTTTGCCACCTCGGTGTATATTCTGCACTGATCCTTCTGAGTGTAGAAGGGCGGTTTTGGTGATGCTTGCATACAAAGGATATGCAAGCTTCACAGTCGTGTTGGCATCCCATTCACAGCACAGCAAGGCAGAAGTGACTAGCTGCCTCTGAAACAAAGATGTCTTCCCTCCCCCCGCTGCCCTCTTCCCGCCTCGTCCCCCTCCCTCCCCCTCCCCCCCATCCCCTCCATCCCCCCCATTCCCCTCCCCCGATCTCCCCAACAAGTTAGATTCATGAGGGAGGTTTTTTGGGTTGGAGGCGAGTCATCCTGGACCCTAAGGTCACTCGCGCTACCGATTGCGGCCTTAAGGCGCTGCTGCGTGGCAGTAGCCCTTCAACTATGGTCCAGTGCAAACCATCAACTCAGTGAGTTTGTGGTTGATGATGGTGCACGCGCGAGCCTGCGCATGCACCTGATGGGTAAAGAAACTGGCTGTTGCTGCTGCTGCTGATGCTGCTGCTGCTGCTGCTGCTGCTGCTGCTGCTGCTGCTGCTGCGCAACTGAAATTCCAACAGCGACAGCAACACGACAGCAAGAAGAAGAAGAAGAAGACGAGGAAGCTTTCTCAGGAATCGAAATTATGATTTTTTTTTTTTGCAACTATCGCTTCTTGTTTTCTGACGTGTTAGTGCCGAAAGACTTCAGGACCTTAGTTGTCAAGATGTGTCAAGGACTGGTGCCATGGGTGTTGGTGAAGGGTATCTTGGGTTTGTGTTTCTTTGTGTTTGGGCTTTCTGGCTTGGGAGTGAAGGAGTTCGAGTTCTCAGGTTGTTGCCTCTAGGGTAAAGTTTTGCTGAGACTGTCCATAGTCATAGGTTACCATCGTTTGAAAGCGTTTTCAGGGCTTTGAAGTTATTTGGGCTTCAACGTCTAGAAATTACTGAGAGGTATGCCTAGCGGCCTTGGAGGTGAGATGCTATTATCTGAGCACTCAACCAGAGCTGCTGTTGGCGTGTGCGATTGGGTCCTGGCCTCGGCAATGTCCGGCACAGATCTGCCAGAACGACCAAGGCTGGAAGGCTTGAAAGCTCGAACGCTTGATTGTCTTGTCACACGTAAACAGCCTCTCAAGCAACTAGGCCAGCAACCTTTGCCGCCCGCAGGGGCCTGACTTCCCAGGAGCTGGCTCAAGGTTAATCCTTACATCGTGCTCCTCTACATTTTTCTCATCTGCGCCTTGAGGCAGTCAAGGATAGCCAGCAAAACGAAACAACAATATGAAAGCAGGATCAACACCCCTACACTCACCCGGGGCATACCTAGGCCATTCTCATTAACCGGAGGGTGGCAGGAAAGAAATCAGACTTCAGGTACACCTGGCGAACTCTAAGTATGTAGGCTGCTTAGCAAACTTCAGCGAAAGCATGCAAGCTAGCGCTGAGTACAGTGCGCCAAGCGTACCCCAAGCACTAGACTCAATGATGAAAGATGCACGTGGACATCAGGAATGGGGTAGCTATGACGTTGACGCTGCAAAAGCTGATGCTGGTTCTGATGACAATGATGATGCAGAATGGCGCGCCATGACCTTCATGCTGCAGATGGTGGGGACAGCATTAGTATTGCGATGATGCAAGGACTACAAACATAATATGGCCTGATAGGGATCATCATCATGTTAACTATTTTGATTGATGTCTACTGCTTCATGACAAATGTTGGTGTTCTTGCAGAAATCACAAAGATGAGGACGGTTTTGAGGATAGATGGTAAGTGTAGACAAGCAAAGAGGAACAGCGAGCGGATAATTGGTAGATGATATCGCATATCGATTCATGGTGATAAGCTGTCATGTAGTCGAAATGATATCCTAAGACCTGGGACATGATCAACATCAATACGGCATGCTCGGTCTGGATGGTGATGATGGTGGTGAAGGGTGGGGGGATGGAGGGTCCAGTGCCCACCCGCTTGCAAGTCCAGTGCGCGGCCTGTCCATGTGCCCCGTCCAGGACGAATCCGTTCTTAAAGATTTCTTGTCGCTTTCTGCTGCTTAGTAGAGATTAGGGTTTCGGACGAACATTTTCCAGAGGCCAGGGGGGGTGCAGTGTTTGCTGTTGATCTTGCTGTAACATTAACGGCTTAGAGCAAGGGTTTGGGGGTTCTGCTTTAGGGTCTTAGGGTTTGGGGTTTCAGGTTGAGACAGCTTATGGGTAGCAAGTGTATAATGGTACTAGAAGCAGAAGTAATACTATCAGTACTACTACCTACTACCTCACTACTGCTGCTGCTCCTACTACTATTACAATGACTAATAGCAGATGAGTAGTAATAGTGGTTTGAGTAAGACTAGAAAAACAAATAATAACCGTACAGAAAGTGACACATTACGAACACTCGCTGACAAGCAAAAGCGCAAGAGCAATGACAGTGAAAATGCTTTTGCTAGGGGCGCACAGTGGACAGTAAGCCAGAGAAGCTGGCAGCACTACTATTGGTCGTGAAACTGCTGGTAAAACTAGCACAGGGCATGCATTGGACCGTAAAGGGCAGCACCGTGAACAAGGACATGGGCAGGCATTCCCTGGTGGTGATGGTTCTTATTTTGAGGATAATTTTGCTGATGATGATGATGATGATGATGATCGCGATGCGGATGAGCAGGATGGTGATGATGACCCATGTCTTGACATCACGCACACCCTAGCTTGTCTTGCAAGTCGTTCTTGACCGCTACAAACGAATGACAAATCGTTTCGCCATCAAGCTATCAATTTAGTCCTTTCCTGGCTTGATCCACCTTTACGTACGAAAGACCAAACTAGACTCAGCCAGATTGTAGCTGTGTATTTGGTGGCACCTTTTCCTGTTCAAGCCACTGATGGCTAAACCATTACGGTGTAAACACTGAATCCTAAACCCTGCATGCCTAAGCCCCGGCCTTGGGTGTGGCTTTTGGCGCAGGGCCATTCTTGGAAGCTGCTTTGACAGGCAGCGGGGCTTTTGCCTGCGAGCTTGCAACAGTATCGTGTTCAGGGTCAAGGTTGCCTCTGCGCAGTTCAGGCATACATAATATAGAGTTTTGCGCCTGCTGTGCGCTTGGGGCAAGAAGCTTGCTCAAGCAAAGTCTTGCCGTGTAGGGCCCTTGAAACAAAAATCATATAAATGTGGTCTGATCCTAGTCAGCTTCGCATGGCCTGAGCCTTAGAGGACCTGGGTGTTTATGCACATTGCGATGCCTGGTGGGCCGGAGTTTACCATGTTAATTTGTCCGCAAGCTAGCCACGGATCGGGCAGTGTTCTTCGCGCGCTGTTCTGCTTTGGAGTGGACGGACTACCCACCACGATCGTCAATGCGTTCCACGGTTGCGACATGCTGTTTTGATCTAGTCAGTTCTACATACTGTCGTGCAGTGCCGGTAAGGATCCCTCAGAGATGATACCGGCCGTTCGGGAGGCGCACCAACCAAAGGGGACCAGCACCCCAAAATCCGTCTGCTTGGAGGATCAGGTGGCTCTCCCCAGCCTCCAGCCTGCTTTCAGGGCCCGACGTTCCTGCAGCAACTGGGGCCCTTGAGTGGTCAGGAAAATTGCACAGCTCTAGCAACAGCATTCGTGGGTCATTCCTGCACAAGGCGCTGATACCCATGCCGCAGTGGTGGGCGGAATGAATGGCAATTCATGGCTTTGGCAGCACTGCCCTCAGTACCATACCTGCCTGGCGGAATCCCAACTAGCCTGCCGTTGGCTTCAAGAACAGAAGCAGCGTTTTTGGGATCTCAGTCTGTTAGGTTTTTTTTCCGAGATGCCTGTTCGCGGGAAATGTGGTTTGCCCTGCATGCCGCCTAAAGCTTGAAACTGACCTGCTAACAATCGTACGTTTCTTGTTGCAATTGTTGGAATTGCGGAAAGTTTCTACCGCGGAGCTTATTGTGCCAAACCATGGGCGTCAATCTGGCGGCTCCTGAAACTCAGCCACCCCCTCAAGGTATCATCAGTCTACATGCTTTGAAATTCTCTAGCGCGGGCCTAGCGCTACACTCGTCAGCCGCCTCAGTCAAACACTAAAAACTCCTTCCAATAGCGATTCATTCCTTATAACCTACAGACACGGGTTCTTTTGCTGTGGGAAGACGCAGGCACGGCTCTACCGCCATGCTGGGATGGAGCCGTTTCGTACGAGAAAGCATGCCAGGCATGACGAGGTACATGCTCAACCTCATCAAACCGGCTCGCCTGGGCAGTAGCGTGCCTTGCGAGGTTGTGGAAAGACATTCCGGTTGGGCACTAGCCAAAAAGCTGAGCGAAGCCGCCGGGAGCACTCTGCATGTGGTGAAGGTTTTCCATTCAGCACAAGACCGGAGAATGTTCCAAGTGGATGGCCTTTCTTGTCGCAGTCAGTGCAAACGAAGAGGTCGAGAATGCCTATCCTGTCAACCGTACTGCGTCAAGCTTTGTGAGGATATCGCCTGGACACCCACCAAAGTTATGGAAAGGTCACTCTCCCCGAGCAGCAACACGCTGTGGCCGGTCTGCTTCACAAGCAGATGCACTGCAGCAGACTCCCTTATTCCCAAGTCCAAAGCTCACGGGCTCTCCAGCCCTCCTTCCCAGGCAGCACCTGCACCAACAGCTTGAAGCTGGAGATGAAGCGAAGGACGTGTCCAAGGAGGAGATGTTTTTCAACGGCACTGCAGACTTGCCCCTCGTTATATGGCCAGGGCTGCTCGCCCCGTTGCACATACCGCTTTCAGGTTTTTGAGTTCCGGCACTAGGGACAACCGTGAGCCAAATCTGAAAGCATAAGGCTGTGCTCAGCAGTGGAACACATCTCGAACAGCGGACTATGCAACCTGTATGTGCTGGAGTTGACAGCTATTGCTTGGCTTGTTTTGTAGATTTGGGTGTAGTGTTGGAGACCGTTTTCGGCCTGAACTCCTTTCAAATACGGCCACCCTCTTTGAAACCCGCAAAATGCAAAAACAACAAAAATGCATTGCCGCAAAGAAGTCCGTTGCAACTGGTAGGATCAGTCAAGGATAGGATTTCTACAAAAGACGCGTTGAAAAAGGCGGGTAAGAAGACCGGCAGTTCCTGGAAGGTCTTCTTGGCTAGGCAATCTGTATCTTCAGGATTGAAGCGCCGTATGGCTAGGGCTCTTCGCCCGTTGGGCTTCAGGGTCTTCAGGCCTGACACTCCTTGGACATATGGCTGAAAGCTTATGGTTCGGTTACGCTCAATTGCGAAGGGTTGGAACCCTAAACATCACGGCAGTGAAATGTTGTGCAAATTTGTGTCTTTGTCTTCGAAATAACTGCAAAGTAACACAAATCAACATGAAAACAGCCTAGACTTAAGTGTATGCAACACTGGCTCCAACAAAGGCCGCCTAGCGAGTCGAGACCACAAAATCGCTGCAGGAAATTGACAAGCCGAGCAGCGTTGCTTTCTAGCCATCCTTTGCGGCTTTTCCCAAGATCGGCAGTTTTTGTTTTGGCCTTGCCCTTGTAAGCACCTGCAGACTTCAAGACTGAAAATGAGGGCTGAGTTTGTCAGGTAATAGCTCCGCTTTGCCTTTTCCACCTCTGGCAGGATCCAAAGATTTGCCCTTGTCCTTCCCCTTGAAACCACCTGCGCAAGCCAGTCTATAGGCCCAACGATACACGCAAGTTCACGGACAGTGGACCTTTACCGCCCTTGCTCGCCAGCTCTTCCGGCGATGGAGCGACAACAGTCTGGCAACAGTGGAGGCTCATTGAAACAGCTTGGCAACGCAACTCATCCATACTTGAAGCTTCGGGAGTTGAACTGATATGGCACTGAGCATCAAATAGCAACACATGTCCCCGACGAACATACCCCAAAAAACTGAAAAGCGGAAACTTCAAAAGGCGTGTTTCGTATGCTGGCCTTTATCCAAACATATTATGTTGCGCCAAAAGCTTTGATGACGAGGTTTCCAATCAAACTCTTGGATGAACAGTGCATGAGCGAAAAAAAAGATCTGCAACTCCCTTCCAGTGCAGTACTCAACGCCCTCACATCAGACTTGCATTGCGCAGCTTCATGAAACCAGTTCGCCTTGCTTCCGGTAACATCCTCCACAGCGTATCTTCCCGGACCACTTCCTTGAAGCACTCGAAACCTCACCGACACTATGCAAAACAACGAAGCTGCTTCTTCAGCACCATCTCTGTTTTCTGAGACTGTTGCTGATCTGGCCTTGAAAGAAGGAAGCGGATGTAGGAGCCCAGGTGTGGCTGTCAAGACTTAGATTCTGTGTCCGCTGTCACATCGGCAATCACAGCAACAGCGGCCTTGAAAACTTGATCCCAGTCCTACTTCAGGCGGGAAGCCATTTTGCGAACATCTCTCAACACAGAGCATTATAAATTGCAAAATGCTCCTGCGGGATGAAAGGTTTGCCATCGATTTGTGCCCCAGGTTTTCTGAGGCCTTTCTTGATGCGACAAATGGCCTCAAGCAACTTGCTGCATCCAGGACATGTCTAGGAACGCACTCTCACACCAATCTGGGATCAGAGCCTTGCAGGCCAGATCACGTAGAGCAATCTCTGCCCGACGTCTCACTATGAATGGCTCGCCTGGATACAGCAATGGCAAGATTGAAAGAAGCACAGCCCATGGCTTGTGCAAAGAAACATCTACAGCCAGGAACCATCCAAAAAGGCTGAGAGCTTAGGCGCTGGAACTCTGGAGGACTAGCATCGATCTGCCTGAGGATGCTGGAGAATTGGAAATCCAGCGCCCCCCCAAGGCACAGCATTCTGCAATTTCAATATAAAGGGTGCAAAGTAATTGAATAACCCAGCTCTTGTAATACACTGCGGATCGACAGCTTATGCTGACGCAGTAGTCATGACTGTGTCTACCTGAGCTTTGAAAAGGTCGCGCGATCCTAGCAATACTAGAATTCTTCACCAATAACCGCAAAGTACCTCAACAGCTCAAGGTTTTCAGATTCCAGAGGCGACTTGAGCTGGGCACGAGCAACCAACTATGCATGTTGGAGGAAGGCTATAGTCAGATTGTCCAAAGCAAGCGAATCAAGCTGGTGTGAGCGCCCGACTCAGTTGGCACTTCCTCAATCATTTCCTTATGGGCAAGAGATTGACGTGAGCAAGATGTAGATTAATCTCATGACACGCCCAAGTGCGCTTCTTCCACCTCCACTTCTACCTCCACCTCCTCATCCAATCCCTCTTCTCCGTCATCCTCAGAGATCCACCTGGGCCATTGGGGACACACCCGTGCGATGTTTTTCACACCCATGTTGCTTGCCATTGTGACACAGCTGTGGCAAAGCTGTTCCCCTCCCGGCCTGGAATGTCCAGTCTGCTGGGCAAGCAAAGAGGTACCAGGAGTGATGCCCATAAGTTCAGCCTACCGGGGCATGCCAAAGCCACATCCTGCTTTACGGGTACGGCCATGCGCCTGGTGTCTAACATGCCGTCCATCGGCTCGGCCTTTGGCAGACCTTTCATGCCAAGGCTTCTGAGTATGGCAAACATTTCCGAATTTTGCCGTTGCCCCAAAAGGACATGCTCCTGTGCAAACACATGCACACAACACCCGAGCAGGTTGCGAAAGAGGTCTCTCGTGCAGAAACGAGCTCGATGAACGTGACCTGCCATCTTCATTGCAACTAGATCTTTCACAAAACGTACACTTGAAAAATCTGAGTTGTGCACTCACCCGAAAATGATATTGTCGGCGTGCAGTCAACAGCCATGACGCATATTCGCTACCCTGTTTCTGAGTGGCTTTTGTTTGCTGCAATGTGTGTACACAAGCATTTATTTAAATACCAACACTGATGTTGTATGTTGTATGATAATCATAACGCTGTTGAGATATCTGATTTTGGACAGTTCAAGGCTTTATCCGAAATAGGGATGTTCCAAATGCTGCACGGCAATGGCGGTGGCCGTGATCTCGCTTTCACATGGACATGTAGCATGCCACACCAACATGCAGCAACAAAGAATGCGGGAAAGCAATACAAATGGTGCATGGAAGAGATATGCTTTCTCAAGCAGGCTGACGGATCACTAACAGATGAACAATATCACGACCTCCCGCGTATACCTGTACAACAACCAAACAATTGCCTTTTCAACAAAACCCGCTTCGTGAACACAAATTGATGCCTGTCTCCCCACAACGTACAGCGGTGATTGTACAGAACTTGCCGATCATGTAGTTGTAAAATGTGATGCATGAAAGGAACATTGCTACGCGTATTCGTTGAAGATAAACCCCGCTGTTGCTGACAAGATTGGCTATCAACATAGCATTTTCATTCGTATGTCCGAAAAACAAACCAAAAGCAAATGCTCCATGCGATGGCTCATCTCTGCAAACATATTTGAAGAACCTTGCATGCACAATTTTGAACCAAAAAGTCATGATTTTGCATGCATGCAAGGCGCACTTAACCATTGTCTTTGTCCGTTTCAACATTTGCACTGAAATGACAACTCTGGCATCAACAGGTGCATGTACACGTCAATGTGGACGGACATGGGAATTTGATGAGATGCACTTTTTGAATCCTTTCGGAGATGGGCCGTTGGCGAACTGGGGTCGTTCAAGGCTTCATGTCATGTTGCAGTGGCACGCAAGCCCGCTTGCAGTAGCACCATTGGCACACAGACCGCAAAAAAGGAAGGGAGAATGCATCCACGAGTGTACGCAGAAGTGCATGGATACCCCAGGTACGCGTGACATATATGACCCAACCACGCAATCCGATTTTGAGTAAGGGAAGGAAGGCAGGGCAAAAAAAGTTGACTGGTCTCTGGAGCTCCTGCATGTAAACATGCATCTCATGTGCGCGAACACAAAAAGCTTCGGAGCCACAACTCTCAACATGAAATCTCATTGAAATCTCACTCCAAGTTGGAACTCGGGCACAAAACAAACCATGAGTTCAAGGTTTCCCTTGTTCATTCAAATCAAATCTTGGTCCCAAGCTCATGTCATGAATGGTCCGAAACCCAAAACCACCCATGCGAAGGAAGTTCAAGTTCGGAGTTGCTATCCAACGAGAAAATTGCCGCAGCCTCAACAACCTCCCAGCTCTCCACACCTAGGCAAGATGTTTTTCAACCAATTCGTTGAGGATTGCAATTACTCCAACTTTTGGTATATTCATGATATCATAGTATCACAACCTTTTCTGAAACTTGAATCTTCACATTTGGGCTACGTATTTCATGTGATCACTCAAGTCGCTCCACATCGTTGGCTCAATCACGCCCTCTTTCTCTTTTGAGTGAAAGTCCGGCAACAGTCGCGACCACCAATCAACTTGAGCTGAAGCAGACAAGCATGCATGCGGAATATGCATTTCTGATTTTGCACCCGAATTCATCCATCCAACTTTTTTCCAAATAAAAGCAAAGGCATACGTACCTGGCTCAAACTTAGACACACAAGAAATCACCTAGCTGCGCTGGCTCGGTCACACGGCACAACCGAAATCCGGGTCCGACATTGGACCATCATGGCCTTTCCTACCAGGCTGATTTTTCCGGTTTCGTCATACTCAACCACACGGACCACAAGCAGCAAGGTCAGCCAGGGAAGTCAGGAACAGACAGAGGCGACCCAAGAAAACTCCACACGCTCCACCCATGCCTGGGTTCATGACGCGTCGGAAAAAAGGCATGCAAGAATGAAGATTGTCCACAAGTGGAAAAGAGCAAGCTCGTTGCCATCAGCGAAAACCAAAGAAGCATCCATATATACAACATTCATCCTTTACAAGGCTCACATCCCAGGAGGACTGGCACGTGAACAGCACAAGACTACACGAGCAAGCAATCAGTATATAGACGCTAGGTAGCAAACGCGATGGCTCACGGCGCGCGGGAGCGGGGAACGCACACAAAGCGTAAGATAGCAAGTGACTCACACTCTGTCAAGGGCTGTAAAGCGTTCATACATTCACCATTCCCACTACGAAATGTCCTTCACTTGAGTGGTGTTGGAAGAGCGGTGCATTTCAGAGGCAACTACTAACCCAAACTTTTCATTCGGAGAAAAAACATTCGTTGGAAACCTTCTCAATAAATACTCTCCGAAATATTCTGACTGCGCTTTATAATAATCTGAAAAGAAATTGAAATAATCTGAATGAAATATTTAATATGGAAAATTAAAGGGCCGGAGAACCCCACATGTGTGGTTGGGTATGAATGTAAGTGAGATAACATTATCAAGATGCCGTCACCCGCCGAAATAAGAAGACGTGTTAAAAAGATATGATAAGCAGACGAATCGGCTTTCTCTTTAATTTCTAATTGAATTTTAAAAGGAATTCACATAGAGGAAAATCCTTCCCAAAATGAGAAATCCAGGAATGAAGGATTTCTCTTTAATTTCTAATTGAATTTTAAAAGGATGCATATAGAAGAAATCCAGGAATGAAGGATTTCTCTTTATTTTCTAATTAGATTTTCGAAAAATTCAGATAGAGGAAAATCCTTCCAAAAATGAGAATTCCAGGAATGAAGCATTTCTCTTTAATTTCTAATTCAATTTAAAAAGGAATTCATATACATGAAAATCCTTCCAAAAATGAGAAATCCAGGAATTGAAGATTTCTCTTTAATTTCTAGTTCAATTTCAAAAGGAATTCATAAAGGAAAACTCTCTCAGCCACTCCAAATGAGGGACA